GCCGCCGCTGCCGTGGCCAGGAGCACCATGGTGTACGCCAGGATACGGAGGGCTGCACCATAAGGGCCACTGCGGCGCGTGCGGCGGGCTCGGGAGCGCCCATGCTGGGGAGCTGCCCCAGGGCATAGGCTTGCTCGGGGCCATCGCGCCTTCGTGCACGAAATCGTGCCAGCCTTGGCCCGCTGGCACCTCGTGCCGCTCGGAAGTGGATGCCAACAAACACAATGTCCTGTGCCAGAACGGCTAAGAGGAGCAGGAGGAGGAGGAGCAGGCGGAGGGGTAGCGTTGGGGGGGACAGGCTCTGGGGGGGGAGAACATCGAGCCCCGAATCGCCCACGGATGGACGATAGGGCCTGATAGCTCCACTTCGCCCAGGAACGTTCGGATATGCCATCGGGGGCACGTCGCCGATCTATCGGCGATGTATCTCGGAAAGGAAAGGAGGAGTATCAATGTCACTCCGCCGTTGGGCTCCCGTCAGCGTTTGGTTCCTTGGTTCATGTCCGAAGGCCTGGTGCGTCTTCAACGGTAACACGCTGATGGCTTCGCCACGGAGGCGTGTCATTGACACTGTCTCTGGCCCCCCAGTATCGCCGATTCTAGGTCGACGTTCCCGCCCCCGGTGCCAGTCTCTCCTTCACGTTGCCCCTCAGGGCTGCCTGGTCTCGAGGCGGTCTGAAGCGGGGGGCCGGGCGTTCGGAGGCGCCCAGGAGTCAGAGAATAATCGGGACGATCGAAATGGGTATAGAAAGAATGGGCACAAAGACCGACAGCAGTTCGTGCTCATGTTGAGCAGGGTCCGCTGCCGGCGTCACCGCGGCCCGCGGGCTGCGTCCGCCTGGGACGGACGGCCGCCAGCCCAACAGCGGCCGCTGCTGGTCTGGAACAGCATTTGTTGTTGGGCACTGTGCCCATGCTTCCCGTACCCGTTTCGGGCGCCCAGGAAGAATCACTGCATAAACATGAGCTTTTGACGGTCCGCGCAGATTTCTTGGACCGGCGCTGGGCCCCCCTGGCGGCGCCTCCAGCGCCGCCCTTGGTGCGCTCCGCGCGCCAGGGATGGGGGCTGTTGCCGATCCAAGACGTCCGCGCTGGCCTACGAAGGCTTCGTGTGATGACGTTGATTGTTCCTCTAGGTCTAGATGTTGTGGCCGGCGCCATGATATCTCCCAGATTCCGTGGCCCCCTCCTTTGATTTCCACGGGTACCCTGGCCCCCTGAGCCAGGATGTTTGCGCATTGGACGCGCCCCCCAGCTGGACGCCCCCGAACGTCGGGGGGCCGGGAGTGCGACGGCATTGGGTTCACCTCCGAGGGCGCGAAGGTAGAATCGTGTTTCGCTCGTCGCGGCCTGGGTCACGAAGATCACCGCACGTCGTTCATTGCGGGGCGCGGGGCCTTGTGCGAAGACAGGCGACCGATAGGAGAACGCGTGGTGGCCAAGCGTCCGACGACTTCGACACCGCGGAGGCGTCACTTGACGGTCTGTGGCCAGACGATTGTGTAGGGACCGTCAAATCGGGAGGTCAAGACTAGCGTAGAGTTCAAGGCTGATCGAGGATGGATGAGGCAGGAGGGAGGAGCAGAAGGAATGGGAGGTATGGGGTGGATACATGCAGGGAGGGAGGGATGGAGTGATGGAGCGATAGGCGGATGAAGGGATGGAGTCGGTGGCAGGAGGAGTCGGTAGCCCACGCGGATCAGTCCGATCGATCAGGCACGGACTTTTTTACACATTTCCGCGGCTGTTAGCTTACCTACCAGGCTGCGATCGGATCTCCTCACCAGGAGGCGCTCCAGTAATGAGGAACACAGCGCCTCACCCTCAGCGAGGAAAGAGGCGGCGGGGCTCGGCGCTTCCCCGCCAAGGAGGCACGCGGGCTCCGATCGCGGGACCTATCCATAGTGCAGGTCTATTCCACACATTTTTGCGGTTGTTAGCTGCGTCCTTGCTGCGCCTCGATATGATCCCCCCCCTGGAGACGCACCTCTGGGCTACTCGCCGGCCTGTCGCCTGACCAGTGGCGATGTGTGCGGGGTAACTCCCCCGCCACAAGAGGCGGCGGGTCACTTCGGTGCGGTGGGGGCCTCCCATGCCTCTACGCAGCCTCAGGTGGATCAAGAGGCTCAGGGACACACAAATAAATACACACAAGAGGATTCCAAATATCTTAATATATTTTCTAGGTTTTCGTCTTCCCCCGCACTTTCCATATTTCCTTATATTTTCCTGGGAGTCGACGATTGGTTGTTTCTGTGTGTTTCTTTCCCTCCTGAGTGGACCCCCCCCAGGACTTCGCTCCCCCCCTCTGGCGGTGTTGGCACCCCCCCCCTGGTTCGCGGCGCCCCCCCCGGGGCGCCGGGCCGGCGCCAGTGGCGCTGGACCGGCGCCGATTGCCAGGTCGGTCTGGCCCTTCCGTGCCGGCATTTCGGTCGACTGTGTCCGGCTTGTGCGGGCCACGATGCTCGCTGAGGGCCATCCCGTCGTCGAGTGCACACTGGCTGGTGGGCGCCCCCCGGGGCAACGAGTCTTGCGTTCGCCGACGTCCGGCCTCCACCCCACGCGCGTGTGAAGGCTGGCAGCGATTGCGCGGACGTTGGCGACGGTTGTCTGTTGGCGGCGACCTCCGTTGCGTTTTCCGCCTGCTTTTCCGCTACGCGCATGGCGAGCACATGCACGACGGCTGTCTTGGCTCTCCATCCTGAGGCCGACGCCTCAATTCGTATCATTCGGATGTGCATCGAGGCCCTCTTTTTGGACTTCCTCGGCCTGGCGGGCCTCTTTGGCTAGTCCAACTCCGTGGCTCCTCCTTGAGGCCGTAATTTAGATCGTGGCGTGCTGCTTCGCTTCTTGACGGCGCGCAGTTGTTTTGTGTCGCCCGCGAACAAAAAATAACACCACCAGCCCATCCAGAAACGATGCCCAGAGGAAGTGCCTCGATCAGGGAAGTGGGCAGCGCGCAGGAAGGGCCCCCCAGGGGAGGCCTCTTGGAGCGTCTTGGGGGCCTCTTGGCAGCCCCGGACGCCTCTGAGAGTGTTTTGGGTGCCTCAGAGAGCTTCCTGGGGCCTGCGGGGGGGGTCTCTGGCGGGCCTCTTGGAGGCCTCTGGGGCGCCTGTTGGGGCCTCCTTGGGCCTCCTGAGCGCCTCTCGGGGCCTTTTTGAAGCGCTATCGGGAGCCTTGGGAGCGCTCTTTGGAGCCTTATTGGGCCATCTTGGAATCATCGCGAAGCCTCGGATGGCCATCGGAAGCGCAAAGGCGAGAAATCCCAACACATTGATGTTCGTCCGGTTTGGGAGGGATTTGGGCCTCTTCGGGGCCTCCTGGGGGAGCCCTTTGGCCACTTGAAGCCGTCTTGAAGCGGTTTTGGGGCCTCTTGGAGCATCGTGGGAGCCATCTTGAGGCATCTTGTATCTTGAAGCCATCTTGAAGCAGCGCCCCCCCAGGAGGCCCAAATGTGGCCAAAACCTTCGTAACATCAGTGATTTTGGCAATTTCGCCGAGGCCTCTTGGAGCGTCTTGGGTTCGTCTGGGGGGCCCCTTGGGGGTCTTTTGGGGGCCTCTTGGGGGCATCTTGGGGGCCTTTTGGTGGTGTTTTGGGGCCAGGTTGGGGCCTTTTGGTGCCTCCTGGGCGCCTCTTAGGGCCATCTTGGAGGAGGTCGATCACAGGAGGGAGGGGATTCAAGGAACCCCGCCCCTCAGGAGGCCAAAATGGGGCCAACACCCTGGTACAACCAATGATTTTGGCTCCCCCGCCGAGGCCATTTTGGACGCTCCAACGCGTCGGGGAATCCCCCGCCGAGGTCCAGGGGAGGGGGCAGGGGGAGGGGTCGAGACCCCCTCCCCGCCCGCAAGCCGTCTCGCGTCTCGCTCACTCCCACCCGCCTTCCCGACACATACGTGGCACCCGGGTCTGGCCCGAGCCTCAGCGGATTCAGCACTCGTCTTTGGATGGGCAGCAACTGGGGCCCAATCCGCCGCCGCCGCAGTCGCCGCCGCAGCCGGAACCGCAGCCGCTGCCCGCCGCTGCCTCCGTTGCGCCGCCGCCGCCGCCGCCGCCGCCGCGGCGCCGCCCGCCGCCACCGCCCCCGCCGCCCCCGTTGCCAATTCGCCGCAGCCGCAGCCGCTGCCGCCGCAGCCGCTGCCGCCACCGCCACCGCAGCCGCCACCGCCGCCGCCGCCGCAGCCGCCGCCCGCCGCCGCCGCCGCCGCCACCGCCGCCGCCGCCACCGCCGCCGCGGCCGCCGCCGCAACCGCCGCATCCGCAGCCGCCGCCGCAGCCGCCGGAGCCGCCGCCGCCGCCGCCAAGTGTACTCTGTTTTGTTGTTAACATCGGGTCGGGCGCAAGGGGGGGATTGGGAAAGGGGGGTCTACGAAATTTGCTGCATGCAGCTGGTTTCGGCCTCACCCAGGGGCCCATTCCTCGATACATAGCCGCCTCCGGCGCCAGGAGGCGCTGGGAAAATCAGCTACGCGAGCTGATTCTCACCCCCCCCTTTGCTATCCCACCCTTTCGCCCGACCCGATAACAGGGATGGTGGGGGGAGACCGCATCGCGTTGGCTGCGCGTGTTCCAAATTTGGAGGCAGAGTGTGTTTCGCATGGCTTTTTTTTGAAGGGATGGTGGGGAGGGGGTGCCCTCATGGTTCCTGGTTGGATACCACTCGCCTGGGGGACGGGGTGTTTATTGACAGGGAATAGTGATAACCCCTCCCCGAAGGGGAAGGATGGGCAAACGAGGAAACACCCTAAACCACCTACGCCCACATCGCTGGTGGGATTTGGGGACCAACAAGAAGAGCAGCAGGTGGATCAAAACAGAGGAAGAAGACACGAACGGAATTGCGAGGAAGGACGGCCAGGACAGTGAGGAAAATGAGGAGGAGACGAGGGACAACGATGACGAGTTGAGGGAGAAGGTTGAGGGGGGATGACAGAGGGTTGGAGGAGGAACGATGACAGAGGACGGTTCACGATCGCATGGGACCGCGGAAGCGGCCCAGGTTCAGGCGGCCCGCGACAAGCTCAAGGCGCGCTTCGCGAACAGCACGAGGCGGGGGGAAACAGGGGAGGGAAAGGAGGATCTGGAAAATGGCAAGGATATTGAGGACGACGACGAGGCAGAGGAATATGAAGAGGAGGAGTAGGAGCATAACTAGGAGTAGGGAAAGTAGTGGTAATAGTGGTAGTAGTAGTAGTAGTAGTAGTAGTAGTAGTAGTAGTAGTAGTAGTAGTAGTAGTAGTAGTAGTAGTAGTAGTAGTAGTAGTAGTAGTAGTAGTAGTAGTAGTAGTAGTAGTAGTAGTAGTAGTAGTAGTAGTAGTAGTAGTA